GCCAGAGTCAGCTCTTGGTGGACTTTGCCCTCTGCTTATTTTCTGTGTGGATCACGTGGCTTCACAATGGTTATGCACCTTCCTCCTCAGTCCTGTTCTTGCCTCATGCACCACTTCCCGTGGGAGACAGGGGCCGAGGCCTGTTTGACAATCGCCTGGGGAAATAAGTTAGAAAGCAGAACAGAATTACTCAGTGGAATTCCTCCCCAGGACAAGAAGCCATCAAACATTCCGTAATTTCTCCCCTAAAATGTCATACTTCAAGCGAATTTAAGTACAATTAGCCTTTTTCGCTGCAGCCTCCCTCTGTCACTGCAGAAACCTGACCCCCTCCCCGTCTTTGCCTCTCAGCCAGCATGAAGCTGTGTGATGAGTGCAGGGACCCACGTGATCCGCCAGTCATCATCCGAACTGGGGTGATACCAGGAGGGCTGTGAAATCCGCAGGCCGTACACCAGGCAGGCTCCCAGCGCCTCCGTGAGGTTTGTGCAGACTAACACTCGGTGTTCTCCTTGGTCCTGCTGTGCTAACCTGATTTAGGTTACGTGTCTCATGTGCCCAACAGAGGAGAAATTTTGTCTGTAAATCTGACACACTGTTTGCCTTGTACAATATCTCATTTGTGAATTCATCCTAGATTATTGAGGAAAATAAATATGTTTCATGATATGTACTGGATGCCTGGAATTGAGTCAGACCTTTTGAGGTAGAGTGTGTGTGTGTGTGTGTGTGTGTGTGTTTTCCAACACGTGCACATGCACGTGCCATGGGGTGGAGGAGGGGTCCCAACTTATTCTAAGAATAGGGTTTAATGCAGTTCCTTTAGTCTACATTTCTATTATTAAAGCTGTAAAAACCTAAAATTAATGCTACTTAGGGAATAACTCCAACTCTGAAATTCCACATATCAACATTCTGTTTCATTTGTGTCAATTCCATTACTTTGAATCCAGCTAATCTTCTACCTACATAGAGTGGATTTCAATCGTGATTCCCTTTGTGCCTCCTATTACTAAGAATAATTAAGATCTGACCCTTTTTGACAGCTAATAAAATAGCTTAATCTCTTATCCTGAGAAAAATTCTTTATAAACCACCCTGATCTGATTGCTTCGTTTACATAAATATTCCGTCAAAAATGAACTTGAGCAAATCTCAGCAGTAGCTAACTGATCGATGTCTAATGAACGATAGAAAGGTCTCCGTGTGAACTGGATTTAGAGATTGTTACCCATCAGTGATGTAAAGATAACCATTTTATGCCTTATGTTATGGACTTTTCGTATGAAACAAGTTACGTTTCCCATATTAAATCCCCATTGCAAGAGTTCGTCAGCCTCAGCACTGCTAATATTTGGGGTGGAGAATTCTTTGTTGTGAAGGACTGTCTCATATACTGTAGGATTTTTAGCAGCATCCCTAGCTTCTGCCCACTCTATGCCCATAGGACCCCCTGAGCTGTGACAACTGAAAATGTCTCCAGAATTGCCAAACGTCTGTCGGGAGAGGGGAGAGCAGCAGCCCCATTGAACAACCGCTGACACGTGGGCATTTGAGAACTGCCATTTAAATATTTCGTATCTCTTCCTGTATTCTCAGAAATTGTATCAGTATAATAAAACAAATAAGGAAATGTCTTAGCCACTCATACAAAATATTGAGGTAGACTAATAATGGGAAACTTCCTTTTTTCTTTTTAACTTAGAAAATTTGGTGGGAGGGGTATGGCAACTAAGACATGGAGCGGTTCAAGAACCCTTTGGGGGCTCCCCCGCTCTCAGAAATTCCATTCCAGCGCGTCTGACTTCTCTTGAGGTCATACCGACCCAGGACGTAAGACGTGTTTCTGTTCACTGAAATGTTGAGGCCGTCAGAACAGATGAACCAGGAGGCTCGAGTGCCACCTCCATCCCTGGAGAGTCCCTGTGAAATTCAGTTCTTCTGAGTGAACACTTAGTGCTCGTCCACTGGACCAAGTACTAGGAGTCAAAGATGAACACAGTGTAGCCCTCACCTTCAAGGAGAACTTCGGTCAGCGTAAACAGGGATAAGCCCTCTCGTGGGGTAGGAAGTACTAGTCATGGTTGACATTACAGCACACTGCCGTGGTTTTTCTCTGCCTGAAGGACGTCACAGTTAGATGAGGAGGAATGTTTTCCCGGAAACGGATGGTCAACCCGCAATAAGATGTGAATGCTTGGCTTGTTTCGTAGGTCTCTGAGTCTGAAGCACTTTGCAAAGGATTTAAATAGATTCCTTCCCCGACTTTTCAGACTCATTTATCCCTTGACATTGCAGTCTGCTTTACAAACAGAGAGAGAGATCCATGCAAAAATAACCCCCTTAAAAAGAAGCACTGAATAAAAACCAGCTGGATGCTTAGAAGCCCCTAAAAGTTGGGATTCTCTTATGCAAGAGATTTGCACAAGATCAACTTGTGATTTGTTTAAAACTAACAGGCAAGTCTAGAGCCTTCCACCTGCCATCTTAGCCGCCCTGGAGTGCATTGATCTCGGTTCCGAGTGGCCTGACATATCTTGATGTGCGATTGAGCCGTCACGAAGTGTGAGTTACAGCTCCTACACACGGAACGGCCAGACTCCTGATGCGACAGTAATGAGACGTGAAAAGTCAGTCAAACCTGACTTGAGAAGGAAAGGCACAGATTAGGGCCCAGGGACTTGATGGTGCAGAGAAACAGACTTTTCACGTCAAAAGGAAAAAAAGAGTAGCGTTAAATGATTTATGACACAGACATTTTATTTCCCATTAAAATTGTGCATTGTAATGAAGCTGTTTTAAATCTGTCAAAACTTTGTTGAATTTTTTTATTTGACTAGCTGTCCATGGTGTGGGGTCCGCAAGAAGCCTGTGTGAGTCTGACGTGGTGAGGTGTGGAGCCAGCTCTGACCGCCCGCCACGTTCATTTGCTTCTTGTTTAGTGGTCTGGTTGATGGACTTGGACCTGGCTGGCTCCCTCTGGTGTCATGGCGCTAAGTGGCCATGTGCTGCAGCTGAAGCCGTCTGGTGTCATCTTCTAGGAACTTTAGGTAGAATGCTGCCTTCATAGCCAGAGGAACACATACGCATGCTTTCTCTTCATGGTTTTAGACTCTGAACAGCAACTCTCACTGAGAAACACACTGCAACTCATAATACATTTATATACATAAAAATATTTTTAAGTATATTTATATAAATATATATGTATACACACATACATATGTATATGATTATACATTATAAAAAATGTTTCTAACGGAGACAAAATTTTCATGAAATGATACTTATCTTTATTATTTGAGTTATACTCAAATATTTTATCTCTATTTCAATTTTTTAAATGTTGTTTACAGCTACTAAATTAATTTTGTAGCCCAGAGACTGGAAAACACTGGCCTGAGTGGTCACCTGTACCCCGCAGTAGATAACGACCGCCTCACTTCAAGCAGCGCGAGCACATGAAATGCAGCTGTATTTTGACCAACCAGCTGATGCCGAGTGACATCATGAATCCTGCAGTTCATTTGGGACAGCCAGTTTGCTACAGATGTGTCCTTTCTCTGAATTGCGTTTGCTAAGATCACTGCCAGCGCTTCTTTATCATATCAAAGGCTCTAAGGGAATCAGTTATTGCTAAATGGATAAATACGTGTTTTACTCCTTGACGTCAAGTTCACATAAAATGTCAAAAGCAGTTTACCTTACAGAAACCTGAACATAAAGAAATCAGTACTGCGGCCGGCCCCGTGGCTGAGTGGTTAGGTTCACAGGCTCGGCTTCGGCGGCTCAGGGTTTTGCCGGTTCAGATCCCGGGCACAGACATGGCACCGCTCATCAAGCCATGCTGAGGTGGCACCACACAGAGCACAGCCAGAGGGACTGACCTACAGCTAGAATATACAGCTATGTACTGGGGGGCTTTAGGGAGAAGAAAGAAAAGAAAAGAAAACGATTGGCAACAGATGTTTGTTCAGGGCCAATCTTAAAAAGAAACCAGAAATCAGTACTTTTTAAAACTATATCACTGGGTATCATCTCTACGCCTTGCTTATATTGTTGCACAACTTGTCAAAAAGTATTTATTTTGAGAATTGATATGTTGTTTGGAATGATAGTAAGTAATCTTTCCTCATGTTACCTGACTTTCTTAGGCAGTGCTGCTTAAAATTTGGGAGTCAAGACCTGTTTGAGATCCTGATGAAATCTGTGGCCCGTCTCCTAGAAGGAACAAAGTTTTGATTCCATGGACCCTCCTTGGGGAACCTTACCCTGAGTGGAGGCGACCCTCTGTCATCTCCAGAGCTCGGCCAGCCTCTCTCATAATTACCCTGACTGAGGGAAGCACTGTGCCCCGTTCTGCTGAGATGTAAGCCAGCAGCTCCTTATTGGAGTCTCCCAGCGCCCCTTTCACAGGTCCTCATTCAGGATGACGTCTACTGGCTTGGGGCCAGAGCCAGTCTAGGGAGCAGCCCCGCTGGTCCTGTCTTTGTCGACACGTCAGCCTGGTTGGGCTGCGGGACCAGCTGCTGTGGGGTAGCAGTGGCACAGTGCCGTCGTAGACCGCCTCCCAGAAGTGTTTGAAGCTATTTCCAAACTCGCCACATCATGGGGGACATAGCATAGTATTTCTTTTTAAAATATGTTAAATTAAAATATTCACGAGATCATACCAAATGTTGTAAATTTTGGTAAATAGCATGTAGAGGATTTAATCCTGAGCAGAATGCCCATTGGATTCTTAAGCTAAGCGCTAGAAATCCCATGACTAGGGCACCACTGCCACCTGTTGGTGACATAGCTTAATTGCAGGTTCCAGATTGGGCAGGGATAATAAGCCTGCGTTAAACACAGAGGCTCTGATGTTAGAAAATGTGTGTCCCTCCATATGCCGGGATAGAAAGAGCGTGTGATGTTCGAGCCTGCTTTGGCTCCTGCCTTTGTATCTCACGTGGGCTGTAGAGGCCCTGATCTCATGTGTTCTCTGTACCTCTCGGCAGGATTGGAGGAGCCATTCCCACCGTGTTCTCCTACTTTGCTGAAGTGCTGGCCCGAGAGAAGCGGGGCGAGCATCTGAGCTGGCTCTGCATGTTCTGGATGATTGGCGGCATCTACGCCTCTGCTATGGCCTGGGCCATCATCCCGCACTACGGTAAGAGGCTGGCCATGCAGCAGCCGGACGGGGCCTTGTTTTACCTCAGCCTCCATTCCATCCCTTTCCTCTCTTGTAAATGCTGGTGCGAGAACAGCACTGTCCTCACTGTGTTTCTCCCTTTTGTAATGCCTGGGACTTTTTCCCCCAGCACAGAGATGTGTATTAGGCAGCACTGTGCCAATGGTCCTTTATGAATCCTGTTGCATTTTGCTGTTTTGAAAGCCGTTGTTTTCATTGTTTTTCGATGTGCTATCAACTCTGGGGTCTCGTGCAGGTGGAGGTGAGAGGACACACAGGTCATAATTAACATATAAGGCAACATGACTTCCAGTTGTTCTTGGGGCTGTCATGCATCAGGCACACACAAGTGCCTTTGTTCACCCCCTCTGGGCCCAGTGCAAAGCTCAGCCCACGTCACCCCACCTCGTCAGCCCCACCCCCGTCAGCCCAAAGCAACGCAGAACTGGGGGGAGGCCAGGAGGAATCCTGATGGTCCTGGACCGTCCATCTGCAAAACTTAAGAGGTGACTCTGCTGTCCTTCTCCCCACACCCCCTCCTCAGTTTCTCCCAGGTGCTCACTATTCCTGCCACCTCTGAGCACTTGACAGTTTCCTGTTTCTGAGCAGCTACCTAAAAGCCAGACGTCCCCAATTGCTTCACCTGCAGCTAGTGAAATGCAGGGAAAGGTTGATAGAATCCAGGAATTGAATTCACTGTATAAGGAAAGGGGAGGGGAGGTGTTCTGGTCACGTTTGTGTGTGTGTGTTTGTGTGTGTATGTGTGTATGACTGCAAACAGGCTGAAGTTTGCAAAACAGGAATACTGCATAAATTAAAACCACATGTGACTTCAAAAACTCACTCATTGTTCTATCCAAAATCTAATAGATCTAAACAATTAGATTTCAAAAATCCCGTTTTTGCTTATTTTCTATTTTTCTGCTTTTGTTTCAGAACAGAGCAATTTTTCACTATAAAGCATTGTTCTGTTAGGGAACAACCTTTGGTATTCAGATGCATTGTAATTTGTTTTACCATACTGAGTTACAAAATTCTTGTTGTCACACTTTCTTTTAATAAACCTAAAAATTTGCATGGAAACCAAATTGTATATAGCAATAACAACAAAAAGAAGCCACAAGGAATTGGTTATTTGGACTGAAGAGCACTTTTCATTGCCGGACATTTAAGTTGAGTTCCGAGTGCCAAGCTCAAGTGATGGGTTTCTCATGTTTAGATTCTTTGGTCACTCCTGGACCAGAGATGCCCTCATCCAGGCAGTTACCTAAGTCCACCGTGAAGCTTGTCTTCTGCCACCATCCGAGGAATTAGAGGAGATGCGCCTCCTTCGTGTGGGACCTCGGCCTCCCTCAGCACCTTCCTCTGCAGGGTGGCGTCTAACCCCCGGCCCACTCCACTGGCTGTTCCGAAGGGAAAAGCCATTTAGCTGCTGTGTAAGGAATTGTTTGTTAGGAACTATGTGAAAGGAGACAGAGAGGAGATGCACAGCCTGGGCCGGGTCCAGCCTTACCCAGCATCACTCCCGGGGCTGCCGCTAGTCCATATGCATCCTGTGTGCAAATTAAATTAAGGTGCCTTGTCCAGGTGGGCACAGTCACAGTGTCACTGGCCATCTCTGCCGGGTACTCACAGGGCACAACCCGGCAACTTTACTCGGCAGCCGCATTCCTTCTGAGGCCAGCCTCACTCTGTGTCTCAGCCTCTGATGACAGCACAGTTCTTTGGCTCCTGGATGTATTGCTGTCCCCTTCCTGGTCCACTTTCCCATATATCTCAGAATATCTCCTCCTGGCCTTCCCAAACTCAAAACTCAGTCGGCTTCTGCAGTCCGTGCGTTCCCACCAGGCCTGGGCATGGCTTTTGTTTGGGGGTTTTCCTCACTGGGTATTCAGTTCCTCAGACTCCTGCCTTTCACACATCCCTACCCTTGAGCTGCGGGCGGCTCCAGATTTTGTCTCTGGCCTAGCCACCCATCCGTTGGTGGCTGACCCACAAAAAATTAGCATGATCCCCACCTTTATTTTTCTCAGGCACACATAAGATATTCTTGTTTATGGCAAAAAGGGCTGCCTAAACCATATAGAACTGGAAAGAGGGGAGGGTCATAAACAATGCATGGCAAGTTACAAAACCCATCACAGTACAACAAAATTACATGTATCTGAGGCTGACGTTAATTTCTGTGTTGAAGGGACCTTAAGGAATAGGGACCTGGTTAAGAAATCAGTAACGGCATATTAAAACCTTATGCCCATGCTTCACTGAAGGCTTTCCATGACCAGGGGTGTGGCAAAAACAGCAAATTATTACAATCAATTCTGTCTGTGTATTAAAACCAAGGGGGAAGAATTTTTAAATACCCTTGCTGAGTTCGTGGTTGCAACTCGAAGCATTTTAATTTTTTTAAAATAAAAGAGTTTAATTTAAAAAGTCCTGTGCTGAGGCACTGGGGGATGATGTTCTGTGTCTTGATGAGCCGGGGGGCAGGGGGTGGTCAGGGGTATGCATTTGTAAAAATTCATTAAGCTGGGTGCTTAAGATTTGTACACATCACTATATGGTCGTTACGCTTTCTCATAAACAATTTTTTTTTTTTAAAGATTGGCACCTGAGCTAACATCTGTTGCCAATCTTTTTTTTCCTTCTTCTCTCCAAAGCCCCCCAGTACATAGTTGTATATTCTAGTTGTGAGTGCCTCTGGCTGTGCTATGTGGGACGCCACCTCAGCATGGCCTGATGAACAGTGCCATGTCTGCGCCCAGGATCCGAACTGGCAAAACCCTGGGCTGCCGACGCGGAGTGTGCAAACTTAACCACTTGGCCACAGGGCTGGCCCCTCTCATAAAGGCTTTTGCTCCCTCCACCCCCTGAAAACGCCCGTGCTTGGGTCCTACCCCAGATCAATCAAATCAGATTCTCTGGGCTGGCGACTCAGCGTCGGTAGTTTTTAAAGCCCCCCGGGAGGTTCTCACGTGCAGCCTGGTTTGACGTTCTTCAGCTCTCTGCCAGTGGGTGATCTTGGAGCCCCTGGGATTTCCTCAGTGTATCCAGGGAGGGCTGTGAGAGGGACCAAGAGAGGAGCGAGCCTGACCTGCCTGGTTGACGTATGCAGTCAGTGTCTGAGTTTCAATATTGTTGGGTTCATCCAGGCTAAAGTGCTTCCTGCCATCTGGTTTTGAATCACACTTAAAAAATAACTTTGACATCTGGGTAGCTCTTCTTTTCCATGACACATCTTTTAACTTTACTTAAAATAGACGAGGGGCTAAAAGTCCGTCCACTTTCCCTGCAGCCTCTGAAAAAATAGTTTTCTATTTTCCCTCTGAAATTCTGCCATGTATAAATGATGCTGCAGCCTGTAGAAACCACAACAGCATGCAGGTCCTTGCCCCTCCATCCTCTGTCATTCAGGAGACTTCTGAGCGCTGCCACCCGGACCCGTGCATTGAGTTTTCACCCAGCAAGGAAAGAATTCAGGGCATAATAAAGCGACTCTAGCCAGGTCCTGGCCCTTCTCACACCGGTAACAGCATTCGATCTGGAGAGAAGGAAGCAATAGTTGGCCTCCACATGGCAAGTATTTCCAATGATAATCATGCACGGAGGCGTGGTGAGAGAAGGTGCCCTTCCATGGTCCTGGGTGTTGCCTTTCTGCATTTGTGTGGAGCAGTCAGTGCTTGAAGCCCTGACCCTGATGCCGTGAGACTTGAGTTCTGGCTCCAGACAAGCTTGTGCTGCACAGCAGCCCTCGAGCTGGTCGCTAAGGATGCTGGAGGGAAGCCTGGAAGGATTGTTATGAAGTTAGACGCCACACCAGGAGGGGTGATTGGGGTGCTGCGGGGGCTGGCGAGTCAAGACATGGGCTGTGCCAGTGCCTCCTGATGGACAGTGGGGTCCACCCGGCCTGCCGAGGCCTGGTTTCTGTACCAGCATTGGAGAACGAGGTTCTGGACCTTCACATCACTGCTCTGGGGCTGAAAATTTCCCTGGAAGCAGGTGAAGGTTCCAGTGTAAAATCACCTCACCGGCTCTGACGGACCTAAGGAGGCAGAGTATCGGAGGTCATCACACGGGCACCTTCCCTGCCTGCCACCTCCCTTGTGACCAGCTCCATCCACTCAGGAGTTTCTGGGCTGTTTCTCCCCCTGTGGCAAAGGGGCAGTCCCCATAAAGAAGGAAAGCCCTGGCCTCAAAAACCAGGTGCCCGCAACTGCGGAGAGCAGGTGTTGACAAAGTGTGGGTCTTCTTGACCCCACACCCTTTCTCAAGCCCACAGTGGGCATTGGCTGCCGGTTCACAAAAGGACCAGTGCTGTGTCTGAGAACAGAGGGCGTGCCTCTCCCCCCCTCTCTCCCCTACTCCTAGTAATCAGGACACCTCAGCATTTAATGGCAGCCCAGGTGCCTCCAGGGGACAGTGCCTCACGGGCCCTCTCCCTCCGTGGCTGAGAGCGCTCATTCAGGCCCAGGCTTTGGAGCCGCTGCCAGGTTGCAGCGCTGTTGGCTCCCTTGAACCCTCTTCCATCATTTTCCCTTTTAAATCTGCATGCACGTCAGAGGAGGTGTTGTCCCCTGCTGGGAGTGTGACCGTGTGCAGCAAGGACATTCACTTAGCTAAGTGGGACGGTTCTCGATTCAGAAGACCGTCTCAGCTCTGAATGCCCCCAGCACCCGGGCTGCGCTCAGCGCTAGAGTGCCCTGGCCTCCCTGGGGGCCGCCTGTGCTGCAGACCCCACCGGGCCAAGCGGGGCGCCCATACAGCCCGGGACCACCCCCCACCCCTGCAGCCACGGTGAGATGTCTGCGCTTAAAAATACTCGTATTCCGAGGTTGTCTGAATTACTGGGATGTCTCTACTTCCTTTAGTTACGAGACATGTGAGGCTAATGAATTTCTTCTTCCTAATGGTGAAACCGGGGTGTGGAGGAGGGGAGAGCCCAGGGGCTGGCTGGCTGAAGGACACAGGGCAGGCTGTGT